ACGACGCTCAGTGTCTGAAAGACACACTCAGGCGCGGGGACCACAAGGGAAGAACACCCAGCGCTTTCCACGCCAGGAACGTGGTCAGATTCCCTTTTCATCACTTAGAGCTGTCCTGGCACCTGAGCGTCCCACCTGGAGCCTGACAACCCCCCAGACCCACCCATTGCTGTGGTTCCGTGACTCGCTACTAAGGAGCTTTGAGCCTCAGCCGGGTAGCAAGGCCTCCATTTTAATGCATTTAAAACCAGCTACCAGCAGCCTAAAGCCCATTTGCCCATGCACTAGGAAGCAAACTCTCACCCTCAAAATTATGTAACAGTTTTATAGCATAAAAGCACCCAGATGAACATTTCCCTCTGATGGTAAACACTGTATCTGCAAATTAACCCCCAACGACTACAAGACTCTGCAGATTTCCACAAACAACACCTGCCCATAGAGCAGAAGCATTTCCTGAGGTAAACTGGGTGTCTAGGGCGAGACATGGAGGGATTCTCTGGGGGTGCTGGGAGCTTGGCTGTTCTGATGAGCTTTCAAGTGGCCAAATGCTGCTTGGCTATGACAGCACCATGGGAGCAACCTGGGTCCACCTGGGACACCCTGGGAAGTGCAAGATTACATCTCCAGGGACACAGCACATCTCATCTCAGCAAGGTCAGATCTCAGACCAGAACCCAATTTGTCCACGTCATCAGCAACCCTCTCAAGCGCGTAAAGGACTCACAGGGAGCCACACCCGGAGCAGACGGGGACGTGCCCTTCCGACCCGAGAACTGCTGCCCACTCACTCAGGACTCAGAACTGTGACGTCCATCTGAGAAGGAGATGCTCCCGCACACCATGGCACAGAGTGTTCTCCGAAACAAGCACCTCGGAGAACAAACCCACTCACCTGCTGTGCAGCCTTGTCAGCGAGCAGTGCAAATTCAACGGACAGACCTTTCAGCGCCTGTTTGAGGGACCCCCACGTGCTGCTGTTCAGAGTGGCCCAGGAGGGGAGCGGGGTCGTGTCAGACCCTAAAGCACTGAGGAGAAAGGAAACAACACACAGGGGAAGAGACACTCAGGCCTGGAAGCTGGGCGGGCAGCCCACCCGACACCCCCCTCTGCCCAGCAGCACACCACCCCAGGGTGGCCGCCCTGCACATCTCCCAACCGAGACCCCTGCTACGCGAAGCGCAGGAGCCCCGCGAGTCGGTCAGCAGGGCAGGCTCTCGATCCACCAAGACCTGGAACCGACTGTCAGTGAGGCCCCGAGGGAACGGGTGCACAGCAGGGTTGAGGCACGCAGTTCTGGGGACAGCTGCAGAGGGCAGTGTCCTGGCTCGAGGCCCGGCCCCTCCTCCAGAGGAGAGGAAGCGTGAGCAGCCCAGCACGGCCCTTCCCGGATCACGTGAACCTTTTCTCAGGTCTGATCCTGACAACGGGGGGAGCCCCTACGTATGGGAACCCCGGTGCTCTGCCTACACTCTCCATCTCTCTTCTTTCTTCTAAATGCGATCTCGTCGCCGCAGCCCTTTCCTTCCCCTCTGGGGTAGGACAAGTCAGAACGGGAGGCATTATGGTAAAAACACACTTTCTGCTCCAAGCCCGCCACCCAAGGCTAAAGACCCCGCCCCACAGAACTGACCCCATGGAGCCCACCAGGGTCACCTGCCTCAGTTCCTTCCCGAATATTAAAAGGTCAGCAGCGTTGTCGATGGCCCGTGACACCATCCGCTCGGCCCTATCGCGAAGCTTGTGAAAGCTGTTGTAGATGTTGCGAATCAGCTCCCGGCTGATGGCGAACTGAGTCTGGATGTCGGCTGGGAGGAAGTCCTGACGGGGGAGGAGGGAGGAGACAGCGCATCACCAGACGAGAAAACCTTCCAGAAAAGACGGCCAGCAGGAGAGGAAGCAACGCCGTCGACCGAGCAGGTAAACGAGCCCAGACCCCCCGGCCAGGTCACGCAGCGCCCGCCCCGGACCCCTCTTCTTGTCCAAGAGACACACAGAAACCAGCACTACACGCACACCACAGAAAATACGATCTGCAAACTTGACACGATGAACGTGCGGTCCTGACTCTGCACGAGGGCCAGGCCTCTGTGTTTCCTCATTTATTCCTGAAGGGTAACTTTTCACCAGCTTTAATATTAACTACCTATTAATATTAGCTAACGTTAACTACACAATGCTTAGAAAACAAAAGGCTTAGGGAACAGAACAGAACGAAGAGTCTGCATTTCTGTGCGGGGGGGGGGGGGGTTGTACTTTAGGAAGAAAGAACGAAGCTGCCAAGCAGCTGCTGTCCTCCTGTTGAGGAAGAGACCAGACCAACTAACTTTAAAAATACACCAATGCAACAATCAATCCCCCGAAACCCAAGAAGCTGATGACCAAGCATCCATCCACCTGAATCACAAAATGCCTGAGGACACGGCACGAGGGGCCGGTGGGCCCTGTGGTCGGAGAGCGCTCAGTCACACCTGGGCCCTTCTGCCTAGGCGTTTGGGACCTTGCAAATGGCAGCCTCTCTCTCTGTTTCCTCGTCTGTAAAATGGGCGTGACACCCACTGGGTTTCAGATCAACCGAAATAAGGGTCAAGGGAGAAAACCGTGCGACCCATCTTAGCACGATGTCTGGCACCCAGTAGAGGCAAAACAAACATCACTAACTGTTCACATGGTTGCTGCTCTGGGGGAAGGGATCATCAAAACCCAGAAAGTACCTTGGCCCGGGCAGCCAGCTGACAGTTCACGAACTCGTCTCCCACACACTGAGCGGATTCTTTCAACTTGCTCTGCACATCCTGCAAAAGCGAGAGAGAAACACTTGACCCTCAACCAGTCACAGAGCCAGAGGCATGAGACCAACTGAGCCACCAGAAAGCAGAGTCTCCACGTGTTGGCCTTTTTTTTTGGGGGGGGGGGAGGGGGATGCCTTGGGTCTTCATTGCTGCACGTGGGCTTTCTCTAGTTGCAGCGAGCAGGGGTTACTCTTTGTTGCAGTGCGCGGGCTTCTCATTGCGGTGGCTTCTCTTGTTGCGGAGCACAGGCTCTAGGCGCGCGGGCTTCAGTAGCTGTGGCTCGTGGTCTCAGTAGTTGTGGCTCACGGGCTCTAGAGCGCAGGCTCAGCAGTTGTGGCACTCGAGCTTACCTGCTCCGCGGCATGTGAGATCTTCCCGGGCCAGGGCTTGAACCCGTGTCCCCTGCATTGGCAGGCGGATTTGTAACCACTGCGCCACCAGGGAAGCCCTCCATGTGTTTGCTTTAACGTAAGTATTCTGTAATCTCTTGCTGTCTCCTGTTCCATTTGTTTCCCATTGGCCTTAACCTTGGGGCTGGTCGGTCTTCCAGAGGCAGAAAAGCCCAAACTCGTGACAGGACTGCAAACTCCAGCTCTGGAGTGGAGCTCTCTCTCCAGAAAAACGGAAACTCCACCTCCAGACCAGGGACATGAGTGCTTGGGACAGACGTCGGAGTCACTAGCTCCTGGAAGGTCCCACGTGGGGCACAGAGACAGGGACTGAAGTCTTCTCCCTTCCTATGATCAGACCCATGGGGTCAGGGCCCCAAGAGCCCTGGAAGAGCTGATGGCAGAGAAGGGGCAGCACTTGGGGTCCCGAGCCCTGGCTCTGAGCTCTACCCTCTGACGGGAGGCTCCCTGGCAAAGCCGAGCCTAAGACGAGCCCAACAGAGAGCCACGGAAGACACAGGCAGAGACCCTAACGCACAGCTGTGTGTGGGTGAAGGAATCGTAACATCTCAGAGATGCCTTGAAGAGCATCTGTCCCAACTCCCTCATTTTACCAAGAAGCAAGTGGTGCTGGGAGGCCCAGGGACAGGCATCTGTGTAAGGGCAGCCGGGGCCGCTGGAGCCTGACGCCACCCGGCTTCCGTAGCAGCTTGCCCTCCCACCACCCTCCCTCTGCCTCGAGCTGAGCGTAGCTCCCTCGTCCCACCACATCCCTCTGCTGTGGTAAAGATCCCAGTTCTACAGAAGCCTGTCCAGCCCCAGGGTTCGAAAGACCCACCCTCCCAGCTCAAGGGCAGAGGCCACAGCATGCATTCCCTGGATGTCTGGAACGGGTCCCATAAAAGGGGCAGACCGACAGGCCCCCGAGCATCGCAGAGGGAAAGGCCACAGTGTCTCTAGGGGTCAAAGGTCCCTTTGGCCTCCAGGGAGAGAGAAGTAAAGGAGGCGGCCAGGCTTGTGTGGAATCCACCTCTGCATCTCTGCGGCCGCATCTTCCCGCGGCCGGTGAGGGCACGTCTGTCCCACCGCAGGCCGAGTGGGGCGTGCTCGCTGGAGCTCCCTCCGCCCACCCCAACAAGGAGAGGGTCCCTCAGGGAAGCCTCTCCGCCTCCGAAGAGCTCAGCCCTGGGCGCACGGAGCTGTCCAGGCGGTGCCTCGTCAGGCTGTGCCTCGGCGTCCTGACAGACCAGGACGGCCTGACGGCAGCCTGGAGGAGGATGCTGCCGTTCCAACGTCGCACCGGAGTCAAGGCCCACACAGAGCTCACTTCCCAGGACACACATCCACCCTGAAGCTCGACCGGGGAGACTCAGCGGGCGCTCCCCGTGGCACTGAGTCCAACCCAGCCTTCCTTTTATTTTTTTATTTTGGCCGCACCGCACAGCGTACAGGATCCTGGTTCCCCGAACAGGGATGGAACCTGCGCTCCTTGCGGTGGAAGGGCGGAGGCTCACCCACTGGACCGCCAGGGAAGTCCCCAGCCTTCTTTTTTAAGTAAATGCACATTCACATCTGGAGTCGCTAGCCTGTCTGTCAACCCTCCAAACCACAGAGGCTCCTGTGTATCAGCTTCAAACCCTCAGAGACTGCGCTGAAAAGCCACCCCTTCCACACAAAACCCTGTGAAGTCAGAACCGGGATGCCTCTTAGAATCGTACTCAACCTGTTACCTTGGGAGAATATAAGTCATATCTGTGTTTGTCCCATGTAAATAGATTCTGTCATGGCACCCAAACAAGGGGATTAAGGGGAGAGCATGAAACAAAAGCAAATTTAAGAATGAAAATAAGACCCGGGGGGGGGGGGGCCGCAGGCCCCCGCATGCAGAC